ACACACATATGCCATAATTGAAAATCATGCCCCATGATTTTTAAACACTACTTTGTGTCTCCATCCTTACAACCTTTCATTTCCCCTCCTTCTAATAATTAGCCTAAAGGATCCTCTTCCTCACTAAGGAAGTTAGCAAAGAAACTCCATATAGTGACCTTAATTGTGTCCAATAGCATGGGTCCACCCAGAACTACCCCTCTCACTTCAGAGGATATTTGTCAATAAAGCAGAATGACCAAGTAGTTCCATTAAACTTGAAGGAGAGTATCATAAAGTAGGCAGCAACTGTTGACCAAGCAGTAATTCTACGTTGTAACCCATAGTCAAAGATCATTAGTCAAAGCCACTAAAAGCAGTAGGTGGTCCCCCCTTTAATATGTAATACAGCAAGAATTGAGAGACATGAGAAATCTTGTTCTCATGGGTGAAGGGACAGCTAGTCATCTGTCCAATCTTCCCCACACATGAGTAGGTAATAAATACAAATTAGCATCAATTGTCCTAATGTCTCCAAGCTTGGCCTCTAACTTAGCATTGCACACACACTCAGCAAATCCAGTGGGATACTCATATTTTGGTACCTAGGCCAAAGAACAGATAATTTGGGGCTTGGTGATTTAGGACAGACAAATGAAAGAAAGAAACTGCTGCTTCATTTCATTTGTTTCCTGCAGAAGAAAGCATCTGCATCAAAATGAGTTTAAACATAAGGGAATACATTTTCAATGTGTTGCACAGGGATTTAGCCACATGACTCCCATTGATGTTTATGGGAAATGAGTGGATAAATCCCCATATAATAGGTTGAAATTTTAGCCCAAGGAGATTGACTGTGGAGGGACTCGTCAAGGTCTTTGCTCACAAAAACTGTGAGCTACCAACCATTCCCAAACGCCATCTCTCTTTACCAGTATACAGTCAAGTGGACTTCTTGGAAGGGACCAGTGAAATTGCCTCTATTAAAAGGTTGCTGAAAACCTTTAAATTGCTACAGCAGGGAATGCATGAACATGATCGATGGGTGAAAGCGCATGCCAAAGGCCGACTTTGTGTTGATTGTGTCACTTTTACAAGCTGGTGTTGTCTTGGAAGACAAAAATAAGGGGTTATTGAATGATTTAATGCTTCAGACTCCACCAGTGTGGACATCCTGCTATAAAATGCATCAAGAATAGCTTCTAACCGTAGTTAGTCTCAGTAGGTTGCAAGAAAAGAAGAAAGATGCTAAATCCCTTGCCTTTTCTCCTGCCTTAAGCAGGATGGAGATAAACATCAGATTAAAGTGAGAGAATCTCTTCTGTTTTCCAATTACACAGCTACAGGCCTATCGCAAGCCAGACAAAAAAAGTAGCCAAAATTTACTACCAAATCTGCTATATGAATATCAGATTAGAGGTTTAACTAAGAAATACAAGTCTAATGCTCTTCTCAGTCACATGACAGTTTCTTTTCAGTGTAAATTCACAGAAGTCTAAGCCTTTTCCTGACTAAAATATATGGCTAGTGTAATAACATTTTTCAGATAATGTCAGATCCCCACCACTTTTGCATTAATGCCAGTGGAATTCTGCTGTGTTTCTCCTTCCTTGCTCTCCCTTTCCCTCCACTCCTCCTCCCCCCACCAAAAATTGTTAAGGAGCTAGTATGGCCAAAAATGAAATATTTTAACATAGCAGATCATTACAGAATCACAGAATGATTAGACTATATTCTATCATCCTAGCAGGATGATAGGTTTAAAAGAAGTATAGTTCAAGTAGAGTAATTTTAAAAAGCAGGATCTTTACAGATGTGCAGCCAGCAAAGAGATTGTTATATTTCTGCTTTTTTTTTTTTTGTATACAGCTGTTGACATAAAATCTTACTGTAGAGGTGAGGATTTGTGATTATTATATAGACTTGAGAGTCTCCTTGAAGGCTATGATTACAGCAGATTTTTTTTTTGACAATTATAAACCATCAATCAGTGGCATTCCATGGAGTCAGAGTACTGCACACCTATTTTTCTTTAGCCTTCACACTACAATTTCAAAAGATAAACTGCACTCCTCTGTGCGTTTCAACTCTGAAATACTGTATATGTGAAAATTAATCTGGCAGGCTCTAGAAATTGCAGGCTTCTGGGATGAGCAAATGGGTACAGTTTTCTTCTAACTGTTTTTTGAACCCCATGTGTTGAGAGAAAACAACAGAATGGAAATTGCTCATCAAAATGTTAACTTGTGGCACGGCACAGCCACCAAGCAGGTGTGTGGCATGCCGTTCCCTTCGCTGACATGCCTACCACATGCCACTCAGTTCTGCCACCTCCATCACTTTCTTTTGGACTGTATCCTGCTTCAAACAGCAAAATGTGGCTTGACAGGGAGTCTAGCACAAAAGGGCCACAACCTTTTAGACAGCAGGCATTTGGGGAAAACATTCATTTGGGATAATCCACCACAGAATAATCCTTTGGATTATCTGTTGCCGCCGTGGTCTTCCAGCCCACACATAAGCGTGTTCAGCTAATGCTTTTGCTATTAAGAGTGTATCTAGACAGAAAAAAAAAACAATACAATCTTGCTAATTCATGCTAACAACTAGGACGCTGACCTATCACAAATAAGGGAATTTTTCAAATTAGCAAACACTTGAACAGACAATGCAAAATATAAATAAATAAAGGATAATGCATCACAGAACATACTTCGTTCATTTATTTTGACAACTGCTTAGGTTTAATTTATGAAAATACTTTACAGTGTACAAGGAAATGTGCTGTGGCAAACTTTCTAAAAATAATGAAGAAGTCTTCATTATCTTTGAATGAATGTCTGTCTCTGTGTTTCTACCGCTCATAGCCAGAACTGAAAGCTAGTAACAGAGAAGATACCGTACAGGGGTGATTGATAGTCTACCAGAGAAGATACAGGAGAAGAAATGTCCTTTTTTTGACTACTCTTTCTTCTTCATGGCTTTCTGTGGACTTGAACATCCTAGACTGCAAGAATACAAAATCTGCTCTACATCTGCTGGACCAGGTAGCATTCTGCTAAACCTCTGTGAATGATCAGTCAGATCTCCCCCAAAAGTCTTAATGACAAAGATGACATTGCATCCGCTTTTCCAGTACCCACCTCCACCTGGCTTGTATGAGGCTCTATAGCCCAAATGTTCACAAAGGCCTCAACCTAACAGGTAAATTCTAGGTATCTGAATTTAGGGTTCAGATAAAGAGATGCTTTTGAAAAAAACTGCCCACAGGCTCAGAATATAATTTTACTTATTCAAAAATCCCACGTTTTTACAAATACTGCCAGGAATTTTAGAAGTTGAAATATGAACTTAAGGGTATAAAATGTTTATTTCCACAGCCTTTATTTTTCCTTTTAGGACTCATGCAAATATTTTGTCTTTTCTGAGGCATGAAGGCAAATGTTGCTCCACACACGGCAGAACAACACTCTCCTCTGAGCCATGTTTTTGTCTTTCTCTCACACAAAACACAAGGAAAGCATAGGGTACCTTGTTGATGTTATTTGAAGGGAAGCCATCAGGCCACTGCTATGTGGATATTTGTCTCAGGGATTAATCTATGGCTCACTCCCTTCACAGACCCACACTAGCAGTTCACCAGTATTTTTGCTCCATTTATTCCATATGGCCCTAGAATGTCACAGGGATCGCTCTGCTGCTCTTTTACTGTGGAAAG